GGCCGTTTCCAGAGCCCTCGTTCCCTTTCCTGGCAGTGGCTCCCTTCTGTGTGAGGCTGGGGGCTCGGCCGCTCACAGCCCCACCTCCCATCCGCAAGCCTCTTACCGGCCACTGGGCGCTTTCACGCATGTGGTGGCTCGTCTGTGCCCGGCGTGCTCTGTTCGAGGCTGGCTGAGCATCCTTACTGGCTCAGGTGGCCTCCCGAGGGCGTGACTGCTGAGTTGCTGGACTTTGTGTCTGTGGGGGTCCAGGAAAGCCAGGTGCTGAGGGACAGTAACTGCTGGGGCTCCCAGGGCTTCGGTGAAGCGTCTGCCATGTGGCCCTGCCAGGCTACTGCGACGGAGCCTATACGGCCACGTTGTGGACATGCGTGTGTCTGAGTGCAGCTGTCCTGTCCCTGCTCGCTGTGGCTGTACCAGCGAGGACGTGCAGGATTCTGGGGACACTGGGGACGGAGGCCGCTACCTCTCAGAGCGCTTTGCTTTTGGAACATAGAGTGTTGTCGGGTCGGGTCGGGTCGGGTCCGTGTTCCTGAACCGTGAAACGTGAATGTGTGGCGTTGGGTGGTCCCCACCAGTAACTGCTGCGGTGGGCGGTAGATGTGTGCTGGGTGAAGGCTGCGGGAGTATCTCTGGGTGCGCTTCCACAGTGTCATTCACTCAGGGGTCGCGAGTGGGAACGGCCTCCGCTTCCCTCCCTTGTTTTTTCTTTAAACTGCACGTGTGGGCAGGCTCCACGGGGATGCGGAGGCCGCCACAGGCGTGGTCAGGCTCCAGCGTGACGCAGAGGCCGCCACACACGTGGAGACGCGGAGACCACCCAGGGCACTGCCTGTACCCCTCATGGGGTGGCTCCTCCCGCCCACCTCTCCCAGCCCAGGCCTCCTTTGACGTGTATGTGCGTGTGTTGGCATGCTTGTGTGTGCTAGTTGAGCACAGTAGTCCTTAATGTGTTGAGGTCAGGACCCCTTTATATCCTTAAAAATTACTGCACTTTTGGGACCAGCAGGTGGCGTAGTGGTTAAAGTGCTAGACACTCCCACATGGCCAACCACAGTTCGAGTCCTGGATCTGGTGGCTTGCTTTCTCACTTTCTCCCTCTCTGTCTGTCTCTCTCTGGTCAAATTAAAATAACTGAATGAGTGAATAAGATCAAGTAAATAATTTTTAAAAACGACTGCACTTTGGGACCAGCAGAAGGCGTAATGGTTCTATCACTGGACTCCCACGTAGTCAACTGCGGTTTGGGTCCTGGACTTGGTGGCTTCAGACTCACACCAGGCTTGTGTGCACGTGTGCCCAAGCTCCCGAGGAGGATGGAGAAGGGAATGCAGTGTGGCCGTCCCCTGGGAGTAATTTCTTGTTTCCTTTCTCTCTGTCCCTGCCTTTCTAGCAAGTGCACGTGCCTCATAGCAAAAAAAAATCTCTGAAAAAAAAAAAACCCGAAAACACTGGGACCGGCAAGTGGCGTGGTGAAGGCGCTGGACTCCCACGCGGCCAACCACAGGTCGAGTCCCAGGCCTGGCGGCTTGCTTTCTCACTTTCCCTCTCTCTCTCTCACTCTGTCCCTCTCTGGTCAAAATAAAAATAAATAAAGTTAAATAGAATACTTAAGGAAATGAGAAGAGTCCAGGACTGGCAGGTGGCGTGGTGGTTAAGGCACTGGACTCCCGCACAGCCCAACCACGATTCTAGTCCTGGACCTGGTGACTTGCTTTCCCACTTTCCCTCCCTCCCTTCCTCCCTCTCTTTGTTTGGGCAAATTAAAAATAACTATAATAATAGGGACCAGCTGATGGTATAATGGACTCCCATATGGTCAACCATGGTTTGAGTCCTGGACCCAGTGGCTTAAAACCCACCCAAGGCACGTGTGTGTGCGTGTCCAAAATCCAGAGAGGAAAATGGGGGAAAAGAGATTGTGGCGTGGCCATTCTCCCTGGGGGTGATTTCTCATTTTCTGTTTCTCTGTCTCTCTCTCTGTCTTTCCGGTGAGCACACACAACCTATAGCAAAAATTTCTCTAGAAAATAAATAAATAAGAAAGTTTTGGATTTTGAAGCATTTTGGATCTTGGATTTTCTGACTGAGGCACTCAGCCTGTGTCCCACAGCCGCTGTAACCCTCACCCCGCCGTAGTAGCTGAAGCAACGCGAGTTTATTCTCCTCTTTTTTTTTGAGAGAGAAATTTTTGCTCTAGGGCATGTGCTCTCTCTGGAGACACAGAGACAGAGAATGTGAGAAGTCACCTGCCGGGGTGGTCACCTGCAGTCTCTCCTCCCTTCTCTCAGGGTTTCGGGCACACATGGCATGTGCCCAGCGTGAGTTTTAAGCCACTGGGTCCCAGACTCGAACCATGGTCAACCACATGGGAGTCTGGCACCTTCACCACCACGCCACCTGCTGGGCCCTTCTCATTCATTTATTTAAATTTGACCAGAGAGAGAGGGAGGGCAAGTGAGAAAGCAGGCCGCCTGGTCCGGCGCTCGGACTGCAGTCGACCACATGGGATGTCCAGCGCCTTCACCACCACGCCGCCTGCTGGCCCTGACTGGTCTTACGTGAGTCTGCTGGGAGGCGGTCGGACACGCAGACTCAGAATGAGTTTTGGGCGCTCTGGCTGGGAGGCCTGAAGGCCAGCACAGCCCTCCGCGATCAGACAGGGTCAACGCAGTGGGGATGCTCTCCAGCTGCCGTGCCAGGGCGGCACAGTGTGGAGGAGGCCCGGACCGTGTGCAGGGAGCTTGAGAGGCCCTCGTTCCGTCAGCCCTGCAGTGCCCATCCCAGGGCCCGGGCAGTCGGCATCTGCCTCCCCGTCTTGTGCTTGGTTGGGGGGCGGTTCCTTCACAGTCTCTGCAGCTGCAGCTCCACTGGAAGGGGAAGACCCCCCTTTTCCTCGGTGCTGGCTGATCCTGGTGGGCTGTCCTCCAGGGTGGGGAGGGGGCAGCCTGCAGCTTTTCTGTGCTGCTGCCTGGGAAGAGCAGATGTGGTCAGCAGAGTCTGTCCAGGGGCTGCCCTCTTCCTGGTCCTCCGGCTGGAGTGGGCCTTTCTTGTGGCAGTTTTCATCTCCTGTGTTGGGGGTGTTCCCAGGCTGTGATGTTCCCAGCGCCCAGGCCAGGCCAGATAGCGTGCAGAGAGAAACAGCCTACCTCAGGGCCTCCCACTACCTGTCTTCTCTCCCGCCTTTGGGGTCTGCGTATTTTTTTTTT